GAAATGTCAAAGCATACTGAGCATCTTTCTCTTTGACACCATGTCTGAAATCCCACGTGATCTGTCAAATACTAATGCATGAAAATCCTAACCTCAAAAAAATCACCCGTTACAACTGATTACTCAGATATGTGTTTTTGCGCTATAACTCTTACTTCATATCTGATTAATAAATTTTATGCGGGCTATATATTAAAGTGAACCTATACTAAATTTTTACGTGCTTAATTGGGGGAGTTATAACGCAAAACAACGTCTCTGAACAATCAGTTGTATGGGAGCTAGATGTCAGAATGAACCGATTTCAATGATTTTAAGAGATAGTGAAGGAAATGTTAAAGTAAAATCGTGTGCCAAATTTTAGTAAAATATTTTCAAAACTGAGGGATTTTTTTTATATAATAGTTATTTAGGGATGAAACGGTACTAGTAAATACAAGTACATACTCGATACTTTTCGTCCGATACCAAGTTATTTTGTACTCGATACTTTTGAACTGAGTAGGTATCGGTAAAAAGTACTTGTATCGAAACCCCAATTCATTGACAATTTTATTCCCGGACTTTTATTTTTTAATCTAATTTCTTTGTGAATAGTTAAAAAATGTTGGCAGTTTAGTTGCCAATGAAAACCGCAAGAAGGCGCCAACGTCGGGGTGACGCCAATTTTGACCATTCTACGAAAAAGGGTAGCGAATGGACCTGCAAATTGGATCGAGCACGAGTTCCACCAAGAAATTCATCCTAGACGTTAGAACGCGCTGGAATTCACTCTTTTACATGCGGAAAAGATTTTTGGATATGTCCAAAATTTCGTCTCAACTTATACTTGATGCTACAGGCAGTCCTGAAATGATAGCAAAAGCTGAAATAGAAATACTGAAACAAATAGTTCAGCTACTGAAGCCTTTCGAGTTCGTAACCAAAGAATCTTCAGGACTGCCTAACATCTCATGTGAGTAAATTTTCTACAACTCTTAGTATAGGAGTATAATAAAAGATTTGGTCTCATTGAATACAACACCTACGCAGCTTTAGGAACTATCATCGATCATCGCTTCAAGAATCTTCATTTTCAAGATGCGAACGCTTGCGGTCGGGCAATTTTTAAACTAAAGAGTCTTATTCAAGTAGACGCTAATACCAGCTCCGAAGAAGACGTTGTTAAAGAAGATTTTGACTTTTGGTACCAACATAAAAAGCTTGCGATTGGACAAAAACGAAAACACTCTAAAAAAGGCGATAGGTTGTAGCTTTATTTATCAAACCCAATGTTGTACAAATAGGCGCGCATGTATCTACATATAACGGGTGATTTTTTTGAGGTTAGGATTTTCAAAAGCTGGGGCCACAATCATCAAGAAATCGACTTACTGGAAAGCATTTGGAAAAATTATTGTTTTTTGGCAGCGCGACAAAATCCGAGTTTTTCAATTGACGGCTTATAGTACCTAACGTATTATTTAAACAATTTTACAAACTAGTATATACAGTGCCGGATTTACTCAAAATGCCGCCCTGTGCACCAAGAAAAATGCCGCCCTTATTTCTTAGACTGGTGTGCGTATGTAAGTGCATGCGTGCGTAGTTATAATACTAATACATGAAAATCGTATACTCAATATTTAACAGGTGTAATAAGAATCTTCATGTATTTCGAGATATTTATTGACGAATTATGTTAAACACATCATATTCATTCATTCCTTAATTTTTTTTTGGAGATTTTTAAGTTGAGTTACAAGTTTAGTGCTTATATGACGTGACATATCGCAAAGTATATAATATTATATTATAAATGAGAGTATTCAATGCAATTCAGAAAACAGGGTACCTTACGGAATTGTTATTATTTTTTTTCGATTGAACAAGATAAAAAAATTAAATGACTGGTATACCGTAATTGAGTTTCCGTACAACATTTCAAATGCAAACACGTCTGGGTTTTCGTACTGCAAACTGATGTATCAAATCATCACAATCCAAGCGTTCGAGTAAATCTGACTCAATACATAAAAGAGCCAGACTATTCAAGCGGTTTTGAGTCATAGTTGATCGCAAATAATTTTTCACCCTCTTTAAACATAAAAATTAACGATCGGCGCTTCAATTTGTCGACGCTATTGTGTTAAACATCCGATATGATATCTCCACATTTGGAAACTTTGTGTATAGCTCGTTTGTCCGCAGGAGTTTTAGAAGGTCAGATGGCGAGTGACGTTCTATTTTTTGCTCAGCACAGTATGCGTGAAAGTGAATCATCTCATCATCGAACGAATCCTCGAGATCTGATGTATAAGTTTTTCTTAGATGTTCAGACCTTTCACAAATTTCACTAGAATCTAAATTGCCAAAATCTGTAATAACTGAGAATTTTTCGTTTATCTTTTCATATGCTTGGCATCTTTTTCTTAATTCAGAATCGGTGTTGTCGAGGATAACATTGAAAGTATTCACTCGAAAATTATCGCTGCCTGACAACTGAACTTCCCCATATCGTGATTCGTCAGCCTGTAACTTTCTTTTTCTTCTTCTGGACACAGTCGTCTGTTATTCTTGACTCTCCGAAATGTTCAACGCTTTTTCTTCATAAACTGCGGACTCCATTCGTGTATCAGCTACCACTTTAATCAGTCCACGATAGTCGTTTATGACGTCAGTCATGCTGATATCAACTTTTTGTAATCTTTTACTCACAGCATGAAATCGTGAAAGTAAAAAATGCCAAAGAATCTGCATAAATGTTGTCTCTAGTCTCTCTAGTTGGATCCGCAGCCCTCTAGCCCTTATTATTAATTTCCATACGAATATGTATATATATATATTCCAATGAATGGTACACAAATTCCATTTAAACCCATTAAACCAGGGACAAAGATCCCATTGGATCATATTGGTACATACATTCCAATGAGATTTTTATACTTAGTTCAATGGGTTTCAATGGAATTCATTTATCAGCGTAGTTATCGAATAGCGCATGTCATTTCGAAATACACAATGATATAGTAATGACGCCGTCCTTTATTAAGATTCGAAATAACAAAAACCAAACCATGTTTCTGCACGAACATCTGAATATCAAATAGTTTCCAAAGATATTTATGAAACATTCACTCAGAAAATCGGGAATTTGTATTTAGTAAATATTTGTGTGCATTCTGCTAACGAAAAACGCGAGATGATTGGAAATTTTGATTAAATATTTGCTGATCGAATGATTACTTCTACAAAAAATTCGATGAGTTATCATTGTTAGACACGATGCAAGTATAGACTTGATAATAAACAAAGAAGTCGTTAATTTTCCATTACAATCAGCGAATAATGTATGGTTTAATGGTCTCATCCATCATGAGCTCCAGTGGTCGAGTGGTAATGTCGGCGGTATTTCACCTGAAGGTGCCGGGTTCAATACCCGTCTTCCCAAATTTTATTTTATTTTTCTTAATTTTCAACAAAATTTTGTATACTAGAAATTGTTTATTGACTTTATACTAAATCGTTTATTGAAATTGTTTATACTAAATCGCGGACACAGCTGTAAATGAATTTTATGTTAAATTCATGCTTCACGCTTCGCATAAATTTAACATAAATTAAGTGTACACTGTACACATGTTCTTTCAGGGTATTTAATAATAAACACTCAATGTTGCAGTGATCGCAGATAAGTAAATCAATTTAAATAATAATCAGTCGGTAATCAATCACTTTTATTGTATATAATCTAACATATTCTCTGGAGAATATATTGTATTTAAAAAACAAATCCGGAATTTTGCGGACCACATTTAGCCGCCCTTCTGGAATCTGCCGCCCTGTGCGCAGGCACCGAAAGCACATGTGTAAATCCCCCACTGAGTATATACTCTTGATTTTTATCAGAATGACCATGGTATATTTCCGAAATATGTTGATTTGCGTCTAAATTTCTCTCTTTTTGCATTTCAAGGCCATCAGACAAAATGCCAAAAGTACAAATTCTAGAACAGCCACATAGAGCTTTGATGTAGAAGAAAAGGTTGCTTTGGACAATGCAAGACCTATTATCGTCTCATTAAAAATGATAAACATGATAACTTCTTCCAGAAATATAGCACTGTTACTCTGCAAAAATGCTGTTCAACAGTGTTATAACACAGAAATTTTTTATTAATTAATTAATTTGTATGAAATAAATACAACCAAATAAAATACGAACATAAAAAGAAGCACATTCTGTATCCTTTTTAAAAACAATTTATTGGACTTTATACAGGTACAAATATCGATATAAGTAGGTATCGATACTTTTAGCTCGATACTTTGTAGGTATCGATACTTTCTTTCGATGCTACTTCCAAGTACAGGTATCGATACTTCATCCCTAGTTGTATTAGATCTATATGTTAAAGTGAACCCATTTCGATAATTTAAAGGAATAATTAAGGTAATATTAAAAAACCGTTATGTGCAAAATTTTAGTAAAATAACTTCAAAACTGAGGGAGTTATTTATAAAATAATTAAAATTTAATCAAATTTTCAAGTACCGTTATTTCGAAAACCAGAACCAATCTGGTAAAACGGGTCTGCCATTGAATTTAGAGCATCCCAATTAAGAGAGTTCAAACTTTCAAAACCTTTGCTCAAAATTTACAACTTGAACAGCTTAATGTGAACCCAGCTTATTCTTTTGTTTTCTATTTCATGTTTATTCCACGTCTAATTTTTGAAGCACTTGATGAAAATGAATTACACTTATATTAATCGATTTACTACGAGATTACGAATAAAATGATATATAAAACATAGGTGTGCTCACAAATTTAAAAGTAAAATTTTGTTTTTTGAAAGCGTACCTATTTTTTAGGTTTGCCCATATACGAACAAAAATTATGTGTTAATAAAGCCAAGAATTAAATTTTTTCAGAAACCACAATGGGTCTGAATGCAATAAATGACAACAACGGAGCTGGCGCGGATAAGACTCTACTGCAATCATTTCAATTGTAAGTAATATGTATGTATATTCACTTCTTTTTTACTTCACAATACTTTCATCCAAGGCGAATTAATATAAGGTGATAGCAGGAGTACAAAAACAAAAATTTACATGTATTTTGTTTCTGCTTTGGCGGCATAAACTGTCAAAATCTATAAGAGTGTGTGTGGATGTGCAAACAAAATTTTTCAATTTGACACAAGAAGCTGTGCGAAACATATACATAAAATCAGCTGATCTAGTAACACCACTATATATAAATTCACCTTGCCTTCATCAATAGGTGTGTTCTCGATTTATTGCATCAAAAAGTAAACGCAGCGTGCTGCTATGCATACAAGTATACAATATTTACACCTCAATATTTTTTTGGGGGTGAAATATATTTTTTTACATTCTTTATCGAAAAAAAGAAGACACCTATTATTTTATTTCGCCATGATATTCGAAAATCTCGAAAAAAATTTCGAAAGTTTGAACTCGCGGAGAAGTATGTTGTTTTAATTGTTGGCAGTCAATAAACTATTTGTCGGAGAAAATCAGTTAAGGTATCAAAATGTGCGTAATTACCTTGACTTTCCACGAGAGTGTGAGATAGATTAAAATAAAAAAAATTTGCATTAAAAAATCGCATTTTTTATTTTTTTATTAACTTCATCATGTTTGATTTTTATTTTTTTTCAACCTGAATAGTTGTCAAACTTTATGGAGTATGCTGTGAAAATTTGAGAATGGCAACACCAAAACTGTAGAAGTTACGATTTTTTCATACCTGCGTACATAAAGTTTATCCTAAAATTTTTTTCAAAACGACAAGCTTTATCTTTTATACCACTGATTATTCAGACACCAGTTTTTGCGATATATCTCCTTTATGTAGGAAGATAAACCCATCTATCTATGTATGGTGTGATTATATAAATTTTTTCAAATGCAGTAATATGTTAAAATAAAATTTTCAGATGTTCATGAAAGGTATGAAGCCCTCGGCCTAGCCGAAGACAGCGCTGCTCTTATTTATTTACTCTGACTGTGGGTACCTTTTTTGTAAATCTTTTATGTAGTCTTATTTCCACCGTCTACTAAATTCATGGTGTAAAACCTTTACCTTCCCCCACCTCTTAAGCAGAGATAGTATAAGGTGATTAAGTTTGGGTAGTGCTAAGAGTGGGGCGCCTCGTATAAAGTGGGCGGATATCTGTTGGGTCTCGTGATAATGCAGAGATGGGTCGTGAGTTTAAAACGGCTTCTATACCAATCAAGAGAGTCGTGAACTCTTCAAATATAAATTAATGTGCCCAGCCGTCCGTTTGAGATGTAACTTGAAGCTTTTGACGACGGATTCCCATAATCCGCCCGTGTGAGAGCTGCCAGGGGGGATAAATCTCCAATCAATGCCTTGAGGAGAGTATTGTTTGAAGATATCTTGACAGACTTCTTACAGGAAATTACAGAATAACCCCGACGCCAAACAAAACGGGCAAACGCGGCGAGAAATGCGTTTGTTGTTAAATCGGAGCGCAGCTCAAGGTAAACCGCCTTTTTTGTGAAACATACAAATACGGCCACGCAGCCTTTCACAATGGTGGAGAACCTTGGATGCTTTTACTTGAAAATGCCTAGCAAAATCTACACCGGTGGTGGTGAAAGGCAGAACGCAAGTGCCACCAGAGCAACGCCGCCATGATTTGAGAGTGTATTTGATGCTTGTGGGCGGTGGAAGCTTTACATTGAAAAATGGACTTTTTTATAAGCGGATTGAGTCGGGGAATGTAGAATTCCTGTCTTATCATTTGCTGCATGAGCCGAATTTCAGCATGTAAGAGGAGCTCGTGGAGAAAACGAAGATAGAGAATAGCAAATCGAGATTTTTCAGATATATCGAGGGGATGACGTTCATTATAGCTAAGGAGGATGGTTCCATGCGCAGAAGGGAGGATGGTTCCGTGCGCAGAAGTGGAAAACTTCTGACTGCCATTCACCTGGGAGTGGCCAGAAGCAATTCTTGTGCGTACGGTTCAAATCGCAGCTCACAACGTCCGGGTATTTATATCCGCGTATCCTCTGGGTAGCAACCAAACACCCGTTTGGGAGCGAGCTAAAGTGAGAAGGCGTAAAACTTCGCGTGCGCTGGGTTTGGGTCCCGCCACGTTAAAACCCCGCCCAATGAAAAAAACTTAAAAGCCTCAGATGGGAACCACTTTTTCTGATGACGACCACGGCAAACGTATAAAGGACTATGATTTAAGGGTATGCACCTGGAATATCCGGACCCTTAATGGGGAAGGTGCCTCTGCCCGGCTGGTTGATGTCCTCGGGAAGACAAAGGCTGACATCACCGCCATCCAAGAAATGCGATGGACGGGGCAAGGTAAAAGGGCAAGGAAGCCTCGCGATGTCTACTACAGTTCCCAGGTAAAGGAGCGCAAATTCGGTGTTGGATTCGTGGTAGGAGAGAGACTCCGTCGCCGAGTACTGGCGTTCACCCCGGTGGACGAACGTCTAGCCACAATCCGCATCAAAGCTAGATTCTTCAACATCTCGCTCATCTGCGCCCATGCCCCGACGGAAGAGAAGGATGAGGCGTCCAAGGATCTCTTCTATGAGCGCTTGGAACGTACATATGAGCGCTGCCCCCGACACGATGTCAAAATCGTGCTTGGCGATTTTAATGCCAAGGTGGGCAAGGAAGGGATCTTTGGCGCCACTGTCGGAAAATTCAGCCTCCACGACGAAACGTCCGATAACGAACCGAGGCTGATCAACTTCGCCGGGGCCCGAGAAATGGTAATATGTAGTACTAGGTTCCAGCATAAGAACATCCAACAAGCTACATGGCTGTCTCCAGATCGAAAAACGAGAAACCAAATCGATCATGTTGTGATAGACGGAAGGCATGCTTCAAGCGTTTTGGACGTACGTACACTCCGAGGGCCAAACATCGACTCGGACCACTATCTTGTTGTAGCCAAGATACGCACCCGCCTCTGTGCAGCAAAAAATGTGCGCCCAACAATGCAAGGAAAGCTTAACGTCGAAAAGCTGCAATCACAACAGACGGCCAATTTATTCGCCACTCGACTCACACACCTGCTCTCTGAGAGCACTCTTCAACAATCCGACGTACGCGAGCAGTGGAACCACATTTCCCGATCATTAAGTACCGCCGCCGAAGAAGTAGTTGGATTTCAGCGAGCCCGAAAGAACAACTGGTACGATGAGGAATGTCAAGAAGCCGCAGAGAAAAAAGATGCCGCCTACAGGGCCACGCTGCGATCGGGCGCAACGCGAGCCATGTGGGACCGTTATAGGGAACTGAAGAAGGAAGCGAGACGTATTTGCCGCAATAAGAAGAGAGAGGCCGAAATACGTGAGTGCGAAGAGCTTGAGATGCTGGCCGACAGGAAGAACGCCCGAAAATTCTACCAGAGGGTTAGGCGACTTACGGAAGGTTTCAAGACCGGGGCGAACTCCTGTAAGAACAACAATGGCGACCTAGTGACCGATGTCCAGAATATACTTAAATTGTGGAGGGAACACTTTTATAACCTACTGAATGGTAGCAGCGCTGAAAGTAGTGAGGAAGACGAACCCGAGTCCCCAGTCGATGATGATGGAGTAGCTGTCCCACCGCCTGACTATGACGAGGTACGAATAGCGATTACGCGGCTGAAAAACAACAAAGCTGCTGGAGCTGACGGCCTGCCAGCCGAGCTATTCAAGTACGGCGGCGAGGAGCTGATGAGGTGCATGCATCAGCTCGTATGCAGAATATGGTCAGATGAACGCATGCCCGACGACTGGAATTTAAGTGTGCTCTGCCCAATCCACAAGAAAGGTGACCCCGCCATTCGCGCCAACTACCGCGGGATCAGCCTTCTAAGCATAGGTTACAAGGTCTTATCGAGCGTATTGTGCGAAAGACTGAAGCCCACCGTCAACGAGCTGATTGGACCTTATCAGTGTGGCTTTAGGCCTGGAAAATCCACCATAGATCAGGTATTCACAATACGCCAAATCTTGGAAAAGACCCGCGAGAATAGGATCGACACACACCATCTATTTGTCGATTTCAAAGCCGCTTTCGACAGCACGAAGAGAAGTTGCCTTTATGCCGCGATGTCTGAATTTGGTATCCCCGCGAAACTAATACGGCTGTGTAAAATGACGTTGAGCAATACCACCAGCTCCGTCAGAATAGGGAAGGACCTCTCCGAGCCGTTTGATACCAAACGAGGTTTCAGACAAGGGGACTCCCTTTCGTGTGATTTCTTTAATCTTATGTTGGAGAAGATAATAAGAGCCGCAGAACTGAACCGCTCAGGCACAATACTTTATAAGAGCGTACAATTGCTGGCGTATGCCGACGACATCGATATTATCGGTAAAAACAAGGGCTACGTCTGTTCTGCCTTCTCGGGATTGGATAGAGAAGCAAAGCGAATGGGTCTGGTGGTGAACGAGGACAAAACGAAGTATCTCCTGTCAGCACAAAAACAGTCAGAGCATACGCGTCTTGGCACCCACGTCACTGTTGACAGTTACAAGTTTGAAAAAGTAGACGACTTCGTTTATTTGGGAACCAGCATTAACACCAATAATAATATCAGCCTTGAAATTCAACGGAAAATCACTCTTGCCAACAAGTGCTACTTTGGGCTGAGTAGGCAATTGAGAAGTAAAGTCCTCTCTCGTCGTACAAAGATCACACTCTATAAGTCACTCATCATGCCTGTGCTGGTGTATGGCGCGGAAGCATGGACAATGAAAGCATCTGATGAGGCGGCTCTTGGAGTTTTCGAGAGAAAGATTCTGCGAAAGATTTACGAACCTTTACGCGTTGGTGATGGCGAATATAGAAGACGATTTAACGATGAGCTGTATGAGCTTTACAACGATATAGACATAGTGCAGCGAATTAAAATTCAGCGGCTCCGCTGACTTGGCCATGTCGTTCGGATGGACAGAAACGCTCCTGCTCTGAAAATATTCAACGCGGGCCGCGAT